CCCCAAAACCCCAAAACCCCAAAACGAAAGATATGCTCGAGTCTTAATTATGAAATTAAAGATTAAGTTTTATTCCAAAATCATTTATCCTTTTGTATTGTAGATTTAGTTTCATCTGGCTAGGGAAAGTAGTTTCTATATTTTAGAATGCGTTTTTTTTATGCATCCTCAGGCTCTTTGAAGTAAAACGAGATATGAAAGCACCAAGCTAATGAGATGAAGGCACCACATATAACAAACCCCATTCCAATATTTATCACATAATCCTTTATATATTGTCTCAAATTTTTGTAACATTCCTTCTTTGGTGGACCTCTATAAATTTAGTAAATTCAATTTGATATTACTATGAGACGTCTGAGAATAAGAAAAACTTTTTGGGTTGGCATATACCTGTACATCCGAATTCATTTTCTAATTCTCTCATGACCTTTACAGTATTTTAGTCATATTTTTAATAATCGATGCAGCTAGATACATCTTTGTTAGTTCCAGTGAAATTGTTTGATTTTATGTTATAACCTATCAATGCCCACTCTTCTTGAGCAACAGGAACACAATTACAATTTGAGCTACACATTAGGCTATCTGTAATGTGATTATAACCATCTTATAATTCAATCACCGCTTGATTAAGTCTATCGAAAGTATTATTTGAACAATAATCATGTAAGTAATCTCTGAGATCATTCCCAATCATCATAGTAATAAGTCCTAGTGATAAAAGTAATCCAGTCATCATAAATGATAAAACACCTAACTAAATAAAATAAGTCAATATAGATTACTGGGATATAACAGGTCTTATAGGTAATGAAAGTAGAAATAAAAGCAGTAAATGAAATCAGAAAGCAAAGGCAACCGCAAAATAAAGCACTCATATAAACGATAGTTTTGAGGTCAAATCCGATAGAGTCACTAATCAAACCCCAAATACTAGATTGGTAAGCTGAAACACCTAAGTATATCAAAACCCCGCTAGTAGCCTAAAATAATAATGAAGCATAATCTACCATTAGCTACAAGCCTATAAGAAACATCGTGTACTTTATGCACTTGTCTGTCAATATGAAAGTAAGACAGCACATATTAAATTTATAATAATTAATTATAATAAATTATTAGTCATGAAGTCATTTACGATGAGGTTGTTTGCCTCAACAAGCTAGTAGATTAAGACTCCAATTAAAACTCCTAAATCCATTAAAGAAAAATTGATGAAGAAAATAGACAGAAGCATTGAAAGAGAAGCTTAAAAGAGTGCTGTAAAGGAAGACATTTATACAGATATGGAAGCAAATGTCAACTATATCAAAGAACTCTAATCATAATTTAAATTTGACGATTTTCAGGATAATGAGTACCTCTAGTTAATACAAAAAATGAAGGAATCTAAGGAAAATAAAACATTAACTAAGTAGGAGTTATAATAGCTAATGTCTGATTTGATTAAAGAGAAGGAAGATAATGAGATAGCTAAGGAATTTAAGTTTTAGTTTAAGCGACCACCAATCACAGCCGAGGAAAAATTAGAAACACTCCAAGAAGTTGATTTCATCTACGAGAAAAACAAAAAGTTTTTATTTGGAACTGATATAAGCGGTAAACTATTGCCAAAAACTGATAAAATTGAAGAATCTGTAGATCCCTTAATAAATACACCGAAAGGAATAACATTATCAAGGCTTTTATATCCTCAAACTAACTCAGAAATAGTGCTAGTTGGATTAAAAAGAAAGACTATTATTCATTCATCCTATATTTATGGTATTATTTAATTTAATAAAGTTTTATCTAGATATGCTTTAGATGCTTAGACCAGATTCTATATATTTGTAATTGCCTCCCGATCTGCCTATATTTATAAGATCTCCAAATGAGAAGGATTATAAAAAGTAATGGATGAGTTTCCTAAAAAATGGAAGAGACTGCCAGTTTTTAGTAAATCCAAAACCTGAATACACCTCAGATATCATATTGAATCAAAGAAAGATTAAATTTTTATTCTAGGAGTGCATAAAAACAGCTGTTGATGAATATGAAGTCGGAGCTAATGCTATTTATACAACTGGAAGTAAGCAGAATAAAAGTTTTTAAAAATTACTTAATAGAAACTTTTCTTGACAAAGAACTCACAGCAGACGCCTTTTTCACTCCATTATTATACGCTTATAATAACTTGGAAGAGAATGTTTAAGTGGTGTTAGGTGACAAACCAATGATAAAATAAAGAGATTATGCTGGAAGGGCGATGAAAATTAGCCAAGCTACTTAATTATTTGAGCTCACCCTAGATTAATGGGAAGATGGAAATTTAGGCTTCAATCCTCATCTTCAAGCTCCTCATATATTTGTGAAACCCAGAGTTGAATATATGACTGAAACTTTGAGATAACTAGCTACATTTTCTAAGAGAATAGTCGCTGTAATAGACTAAGATCTATTACCTTCCATTGAGGATGAGTGGAAAAATCTGAAGAAAGATTTAAAACCTCTCAATCAATTCTATCAAGATCCTCCTAACTTTATTAAAAATCCATCAACAATTGAATAGATTAATACTTAAGATACTTTCCTTGAGTTTGTGGAAAAATAAGTGATACTAGACTTGATACTTGACCCTTTCATCAATAATAACTTTATTTAATACGATAGCTTTCCATTTGAAGCAAAGGACTTTCTAGGTAAAGAAACGGCAATATTAAACGTCTTCACCTATTGGAAGCATTACAATCAAAAATACTATAAGAAATTCAAAAGTTCTGGAGTGTTAGAAGATGACTATCAAAAATTTATCAAAGAAGAAGGCAGAACCTTAAAATGATAAAGGTAAATCATTTTGCAAAAAAAACTAATTAATTAATCTTAATTTCTATAATATTTGTACTAATTCTAAAGGAAGGGGTTTTGGGGTTTTGGGGTTTTGGGG